ATGGGATTGCTTCTTTTCATTTCTTTTTCTTTTCTTTCCCTTTCTTTTCTTTCCCCCCCTCCCCTCCTCCCTTATTTCCTCTGCTTCTTTCTCCCTTTCTCCATTCCTCCCTCTTTCCCTCTCTCTCCCTTTCCCTCTCTCCCTTCCTCCCTTTCTTCCTTTCCCCTCTGCAAGTACTCATTTAGTAGCTTTATCAACCACCTACCATGTGGCATCCATTGCGTTATGCACTGTGAGATTAAGATTCATAAGACACGACCCATACTGATATTATACTTTCATTGTCTCCGTTGAGCTCCCAATTGAACTCTAATATCCATACAGACACCACTGTTTATTACGTGTCTGTTACATGTCTGGCACTTTCATGGAGCTTATTTTACTTAGTTCCATCATCCACCCAGAGGTAGGTATTATTCCCATTCTTGTAACACAGATGATTGAATTTAGGTAGAGGGTTTAAATATCTAACCCAGGGACACTCGGTTCCTATGAGGAGGAGTCAGGACATTCTGAGTTTTCTGATTCCCAGTTCAGTGTGTTTTCCACCGTGCCTGCATATCGACTGGGAAGGACTTTTATGCTTTCGCCTTTTATATACCGCACTGCACATGTAATGTGCACAATAAATACTTGTGTAGAATTAGATCCAAGCTGTATTAAAATTTGCATGCTTCAGCCTTTTCATATGCCTGCATTTGGCAGAATTGTTCAGAATTTTCACATGCATTTTTTAATATACAGACAACAGGTAAACGTTTTACTGCTTATGTGTAAAGAGCAAGGTGACTAGTCAGGAGTTGACCCTTAGACAGATCTGCAGACATACAGACCCCCGTAAGTGCTTGTATGTGTTCTGAAAGCCTGCCTACCTTGATTAGAGCTGGTTACAGAGGACACGCAGGAAGGAAAAATCCTCAGCGCCCAAATGAGCATCAAAGTCACTCTTGAAATCACGATAGAAAGATCAGATCCTTTTTTCTTTTAACTTTGAGAAAATTTTAAAAATAACCAAAATGTAAAGAGAATAATCTAACAAATATCCACATACCCCCACCCAGAGATGAAAATTGTCAACATTTTGTCATACTAGTTTCGAGATTTTTTAAGAAATAAAATTTTCAAAAGCATTATAAAATTACAATCTCTTTTGTCTTCTATCCCCAGTCCAACCCCATCCCCTACTCCATTCTGGTGGGCACCGTCAAGGGTCTGGTTTCCAATCCACTATTTATATATTTACATGAACACATATGTTTCCATAAACAATTTATACTATTGTTTTATATGTTTATTATAATATATACATAATGGTGTCATACTGCTTGTATCATTTTACAACTTGCTTTTATTTTTGCAAATATCACTAAGTTTTTGAGCTGTGTGTTGAAACCGAAGACTCTAGTCCATTCCTGTTAGTAACTGTATAGCATTTTATTATATAAATAAAATAATTTCTTATGCCTTCTCCTACTCCTGTTAATTGGAACTAAGATTGTCATAAACAAACCACAATAGAAGTGCTCACACAAGTTTCTATCCTTCATACACGTGCTCAAATTCTTATAAGGTGTTTTGCCTAGAAGTGGAATGGCTGGATGGTATACTAGGTACATGTTTAATTTTATCACATTTTGACAAATTACTCTCTGAAACGGTTGTACCAATTTACAGTCTCATTGTCAATGCATTTAATTACCTGCTTCTCCATACTCTTTTCAATGCTAGATACGGACAGACTTAAATCTTTGCTCATCTGCTTGATAAGCAAGGGTACCTTCTTATTTCTGTTTGCATTTCACTATTTACTAATATAATCTAGCACCTTTTCATGTTTATTGGCTATTCAGGTGTCTTCTTTTGTGAAATGCCTGGTCATGTGCTTTGCCAACTCCTACAGTTACTTGTGGAGTTTTTTTTTTCTTGTTAATTTATAAGAGGGATCCATTTTGGATACGAATCATTTAACTGTTATTTGACCATTGCAAATATCTTTCTTTTAAAATCATTGTCAAGTTTATTATCACATTTCTTTTTTTTTTAAAGAGGGCCATACAAGGTCAGTTCCAAATGGGGAAAGATCTTTATTCTTTTTTTAAGTCAATGCAAGACGGCATACATGGTCTCTGCAATTGAGGGAACAGGCATAAATAGCTTTTGCAGATCTAAGCGAAAACTTCCCTACAAAGGCCTTCAAATTTCTTCTCCAGATCTTGAGAGTAGCCCCCTTTTAGCATCTTGTGAGTTAGATGGAGAGAAACACTTTTTATATTTAGATAGGAGAGCAAAACAAGAGAAATGGACTTTCCTTTTACAAGCCGGTAGCATCAACGCTTCTCACAAGAGCCTCAAATTAATTTGAAAGTGGTTTCTGTAAGTGAAATTTATCATTTAATGATTATTGGTTAGGCATCTCAGGTTTCAAATTTTAAGTTTGCCTACATGGAGTCATTCTACTTCTTCCCTCTTACTAAGAGCAGGTTTCAATTATGTAATTATGGTTAAAGAGGTCTGAAGAGTTTTTACTCTTATGCCTTCATCCTGAGTGGATAATGGTTTGCAATGACTGGTTGAGAGCTGTGGAAACACAAATGTAAGGCAGAAACCTTGATAAATATTTACCAACATACTAGACTATAAACGGCGAGACGAGGGCCTGTCTTTACCATCTGCATGAAGGTTATATCCTCAGCATTGGCTCAGCTGATAATCTTACCGAGTGAGCATGTGCTGAATATCCCCAATCTACAGCTAGTTATTGAATCCCAATTCTGTGTTACATACTTCTGTATTCTATATACTCATGTAATCAAAGGGACCAACATGGACAAAGTGCCCACCCTCATGAAGCTTACATTCTGGTGGCAGGGAGAGATAAGTGACAATGAAGAAACAAGATGCAGTGAAATGAGGCAGAGAGTTGTGGGCTGGTGGGATGGGGGTCGGGATGTTTCTACTGCAGGGAGTGTGGTCTGAGAAGCCTCCTGAGGAGGGATCCTAAAGATGAACAACATTTACTAGATAGAGATGGTGAGAAAAAGATGGGATATATAAAACCACAGGGTCGGGGCTCTTAAACAATTACTTCCAATGTAGGAGGTAAGCTCTTGTCTCTTTGTATTTTTATTTGGAGCAGTTCATATGAGTTTTGGAAAAAAAACATGACTAAAGGGTTGATTTTAGATTAGAAGGAGTTAATGAATTTGTAAAATATGCTTCCTTTTCTTTGGCGGAGTAGTTTACACAGGGAGAGAACAGCTGGCTCCTAGGACTTGGTGGTGCACTTTGGCTGGGCTGTTAATTGCATAAGTATTTTGTGCATTTCTGACTGTGTATCTCTCCTGCAGCCCACTTGACCAAGATAAGTCTTTTGAGCCCTACTGAATGTTTGCATCTCGCGGGCAACTACAAACTATGGCTCACGGGATGATTTAACAAAAAATTATTGAAAACATTTAAATTGCAGCACTGAGTTCATGGATAGAAACCGCTGTTCGCACAAACAAAACATTCAAATGATGAAGATTCTCTAGATATTGATTTAATGCAGACTTCCTTCTTGTTTATTTTGAAAAATAGATTTCAAGTTCCTAGCAGCATCTAGTAGAAGTTCAATATTTCTTGCCCCCTCCCCCCTAATGCCTGCCTAGAGAGAAAAACAAAAACAAAAACAAAACAAAAAACCACATTGTTTGGGGGTTTTGTTTTGTTTTCTTAAGCCAAATACTTAAATCACGAATGTCTCATAAGTGCCTTTGGATGGCTTGCATTGACTTGTTTATTTTGCTGTAGTCAGTACAAACACCTTCAAATTTCCTTCTGTAACAGATGCTTTTCAAAGTCATTATCTGACCTCGCTGATGGAGCTGGTCTGCAGACCTTGCAGCCGAGTTGATTTTTGCACGGGCTCTAACTTCGACGCACAAAACTTTGCAGCCTCTTTGAGGAACCAATTTGCAAGCTAAGAGAACAAATGAAAGTGTTCGCTCATCTCTCAAAAATATTTCTGCGCTTGGTATGTTCCCACTCTTATCGGGTTCTCAGGAATGAACACAGAATGTGACATGGGTTTTTCACATACGTAAGTTTTTGTCTTCCATTTCTGGGAAGTTATTTCCTCTTCTGAGGTTTTATTTTCTTGATTTATTAAACTTTAACATGCTACGGAAAACCTCTTCTCTCCTAGCGACTGTTCTCTCCCTTTTAAAAATGGCTCAGGAATGGAAAGCTTGACTTTCCATTTTAGATTTTTTAGGGTCCTTTTCGGTTTATTCTGCCCCCCGTTCCTCCCTTCTGTACACTCACACCCGAGGCCGCCGGCATCTGGGCTGAAAGAACCCGTGGCGGGCTAAGAGAGGAGGGTGTCATGTTGGCGACAGGCTCCGGCTGGCGGCCGGCGAGCCTGCCGGGGTTAACGGGGGCGCAGGGGTCAGCGCCCTCGAAGTTGGGGGCCTCGGGCGGAGCCGCACCAGAGCCGCGGCGACCGCTCAACCAGAGCGCCCTGCAGTCCCGCTCCGTCCACGGGGAAAGGATCGCCTAATTGGTCGCGATCCCACGGAGGTCTTGCTCTTCCCGGGGCAGCCTCCGGGACCGAGAGCGTCGCGGGGCCGACGCAGGCGGAGCGGAGCCGGCGAGAGGAAAAGCCCAGGCCTGGGGCAGAGGAGGAATGAGGGGCCGGGAGCCGGGGGGATTTCCTCCCGCGCTTCCCCCTCCAACGGGAGCGGAAAATGTGATTTGCTGTGCATTCCAGGCGCGGTTCCCTGGGGTGACCTCTCCCAGCCGGCCTGGGCGGGGGGAGCAGACAAAGAGGCGAGGCAGGCGGAGAGGGGACCCCGCGGGGAGGCAGGAGGGGTGCGGGGGGCGGGGGCAGTACCGGGAAAGGGGGCGGATAGCGGGTCCCGCGGCGGCGGCGGCGCCTGGCCAATGGAGAGGCGCGGCCCCGGGCGCCGCGCTCCGCCGCCGGCATTTAAACGGGAGACGGCGCGATGCCCCGCACTCGGTGCGCCCTCCGCGGACCGTGCGACCTAGTGTGCAGCAAGAGCGGTGCTCTCTGTCCCGCTGACCCCGCGCCGAGCCCGGGCGGCTCGTGCCGCGGCCGCACACCGCGCCACGCGTCGAGAGCGCAGGCCCCGAAGGCCCGCAGCACTGACAGGTGAGCGCGGAGGCGCGGGCGTTGTGTGTGTGTGTGTGTGTGTGTGTGTGTGTGTGTGTGTGTGTGTGTGTGTAGGGGTCGGCAAACGACTGCGGCGTCCCGCTCCGTGCAGACTTGCCGTAGCCCTTCGTGAGCGCAGGCCAAGGCCCCGCGATCCCTGGGGTGAACCCTGAAGAACCATCGCGGGGTCTTTCGTGCCAAGGTCTTGGCTGCCGTGACCTCACCTTGCGCGGTCTGCAGGGCAAGACTGGGAAAGAGGATGTCAAGAACAAGAGCCCCGGATCCCAGTTCCACCTCCCGGAGCTCCGCTAATACGCTCCTGGTGTGTTTGGCAGCTGCGCTTGCCAGTCGCGTCCGCTGGGTGAGGGCGCAGAGTCCGTGAGTCCAGAGCGCAGGAGCAGAGGGATAATGAGCGAGCGGGAGCAGTGAGGCGCTGCGGGGACCTTCAGCTCGACCGCAAACGCCGGGGCAGGTTGCAATGAGAGGGTCCCATTTGTTTGAGGCGGGGCGCTGGGTCTGGGGACTTCGGGGCGCGCACGTCGGAGGGCCGTGAGTGATCCTGCCGTGAGGTGGTGGATCCTGAGAATCAGCGATGCATTTGCCTCTCCCCAAGATGGAGACTCGTGCAACAGCGGAGCTGCGGAGTTCCGCCTTGGCGGAAACCCAAGGGTCAGGTAACTGGACAGCTGAAGTGAGGTGCGCGGTCCCGGACGCCTAGTCCTGCGAGCCCGCGGTGCTCACATAGCAAACACCGCACACACTGCGCGCTCGTGCGCGCTGTTTCCACTTCTAGGCTTCTCCCTGACCCATGCGCTTCTCGGCTGACCCGCGGGCGTCCGGGCGATGGGCAGTGACAACTTGCCGGGTCCCACTTGTGCGGGTACCCCTTAATTTGTGTCCGAGAGGCCCCTGCCTCACCTCGCCGCGCCTTCCTAGAGACGGACTAGGCGGGACTGG